GTTGTCTTGGATATCAACCAGGGTGTGCAGTCATCTTATTCCATGATTGTAGATGAGATTAGAGATAGAGTAAAGGATTTTGTTAAAGTTACTTTTCGGGTTGAGGTTAGGGAAGCGAATTTCGAAGCTCGTGCTTTGTCAAAGGCAGCTTCATCGCTTCCGGAAGGTCGCCACATGTGGCTAGGGATCCTCCCAAACATTATTTGTATTCCGGATGTTTGAAAAATGAATAAAATCCCTAGTTCCCCTAAAAAAATCCATAATCATTTGAGCTATGAATAGATGATGGGGAAGGGTTGAAATATTTTGCGCTGCCATGGTTCCTAAATGGTAGGAGTGATATGTCTTTTTGCAGCACTTCCTAAATGTTACGAACCAACTTTTTTGTGGGTACATATCAACAACATTTGACTTAACATATTTTTCCAACTAGAAAAATATATATCCCCGACAGAAGGACATATTAAACCAGTGGTTTTAGAGAGACAGGGGGAGGGGAAATGATGGAGGGAAATACCAGTTGTACATGGAGATTCCAGACCTTGATCTCCGAGGGAGCAACCAATTAGGCCTCCAGCATATCAAAATGTGTGCACGGGTGTAATTATTCAAGAGCATGTATGTTAACCTAAAAGCATGAGAGACACAAAGTAGGTAATGTGTGGCGGCTCAGAGGTCCCGTGATGCATGAACACGTCCTTGCGTACACTCGGCGCCAGGGCGATACGCCGCAACTCCCACCGAAAGGAGACCGACTAGAAGCGAGATACACAAGAAGATTGGTTCTCTTGTTTATGCACTATCTAATTTGTGTTTGGTCTGAGCCTTTATCGAATGGCATGCACATATTACGACGAAAGAAGTCCACATAACCCCCTAGTGTTTCACAAACCGGCTAATTTACCCCCTGAAGTGCAAAACCGGGTATTTAACCCCCTGCCTTTCTCAAAACCATGTGAATCATCCCCTAAACCTGATTAGAGTGGTTTTGGCAGGTGGTTTTGTCCTTTCGGACCTGCACCCAACTGCACCTGGCCTTGTCCATCCTCAGCTGCACGCCGGCGTTGTGTGCAGCGCCTAGATGCCGACATCACCATGTAGCTTGCTGGTCCATTCTTTCAACTCTGTCAGCTTCTTGATGGTGAACCGCATCATCTCTGGGTTGCCGTGCAGCCTACACGACGCCACCAGAGTGTCACACATCGAAAGCCATCACTTCAATCAGGCGTGGAGTGCATCATTGAAGCTGCAGCTCTGACCCATCACCGATCTGAGAATACTGCTAGGACTCCCAGGAGCGTTGACTCATCCGGCTTGCCGCTGTCCAAGCACATCTAACTGAATTCCTCCCCATGATGTGTGTACCCGTGTATATCAGCGAGTTCAAGGACGTCAAACGCGAGCATCACCTTTGTCCTCCCTCACCACCAGGCTGCCAAAATCACCTACGTGTTCACAAATATGAGTCATGCATGTTACCATGGCGTCCTCGGTTCTTCACTGGGCTCGAGGCCAGTCAGGCCCTCGCTCGTGATCAAGACTCGTCTCCCAGCTCGGCAGGCTGGTGCTCGTCACCGGCACGAACATGCCGGAGCTGCCGCAGAGTGAGGTTGAGGAGATTTCGGCAGAGTGACTCTCCCCCATCCCGGACAGCGCCGTCATGTTTTCCACCTTCAGGAGCAAGATGTGTGTCCCGGCCGCCTGCACAACTCCATAAAGGCAGAGACTTCAAGGTGAAGGTCGAGAAGTGCATGACTCCGGGGTTCGAGGAGAGGATGAATGGGAGGGATGTGGTGCACCTATACCACATCCTACGAAAAATCAAAGCGTGCGGTGCTTAGTGAACCACGCCGGACGAGCTCCATCATGCTAGGGCTCCTTGTCGGCTGCTGTAAACTGTTTGATGTTGTACAGCGAGTATGGAGTACCTCAACGTCGAGCTGTTCGCGGGGGACCTCGATGTCGGGGTGAAACTGGCACGCCGGCACCAAGGATGGTTTAGGTGAGAGGATGTGAACGATGCCGTATACACGTGATTGCAGGCAGATGGGATAGGGAAGAAAGAACTCTGCCGACCTGGCCCCTCGCAACGTTGCTACGTCAGCAAACCACCTCGCAAAACCACTATAATCAGGTTTAGGGGGTAATTCACATTGTTTTGAGAAAGACAGGGGGTTAAGTATCCGGTTTTAAACTTCAGGGGGTAAATTAGCTGGTTTGTGAAACCCTGGGGGGTGATGTGGACTTCTTTCTATTACGACTCATGAACCTTATGCTTTCAACTAGTCCCCTATTTTAAGTTGTCTAATTAAATTTGCTATGGTTGGGCAAGGAAACTCCCCCACGCTGTTCTCGTGCGAGCAGCTTGGGCAGAAAAGCAACCCTAGAGCCACCAGCGCAAATCCTACCCCTCCTCTCCGCCGCAGTCGAAGGAAGTTGCAGGGCGAAGCCGCTGCGGGGAGCTTGCT